AGTTGATCTTAAGTTTATCTTAAGAAGTACCGAAGAATCATTTTTAGTATATTAATTAGTACGTGAAAATAGAGCACTTTAAGAACATTATGGAAGTGTACTTTTGTTAACCTGGGAACTTTTGCTATTATTACATTTCAGGAAAAAAAGAAACTTGTCTTGTCTTTGTGTGTTAGGCCTTTGGTTACATTTGGAGGTGGAGTACACAGGAGCGCTACAGATGACTCTAGAGACCAAAATCAACCTCTCCAAACTTGGGAAGGAGGGAGTCCCCGAGGCAGAGGCAGAATTGGAGACCATTAATGTGTTGTAAGTTTTTGGAGAATAAAATTTATTTTCTGAGACAAAAATCTCAACACAGCATAGACTCTGCAACGTCTATTATGTAACCTATACTACCATACAAAATGTTGGAGTCAGTTTTTTAAAAGACATTGATAAAACATTGATAATAATAAGAAATATTTATTGTGCACCAAATCACCGTCATGTGACCAAGTTATGGTTGCTGAAAATTGAGATATGCCATCACAGGAATAAATTACATTTTAAAAATATATTTAAATAGAAAACAGTTATTTAACTATTACACATTATTAATGTTTTTACTGTATTTTGGTCAAATAAATACAACCTTCGTGAGCAAGAGAAAAAAAATCATACTGACCCCAAATTTTTGAACGGTAATGTATTTATTTTATACTGTGGCATGTCATGCTTTTTTTTTTTTTTTTGATATGTATTTATTTAGAAAAGCAATTTAAAATCAACATATTTTCATTGACTTTTGGAGCCCACTGTATGCTGCATTGTTGTTCCTTCGACTCAGTACCATCCTAGTGCTGTTTGTGGGTGTCTGTTTATGAAATCTCGTTATGATGAGGTCCTGTCCGGATGTGTTCTGCAGTAGCAGGTCCAGGCTCTCTGTGCTGGCTGACAGTGATGAGGAATCATCAAGTGCAGGATCCTTTGATGAAGAGGAAGTTTCATCTGCTGACACTCAAGGAAGTCTGACTGAAAAGGCTGTACCTGGTGTTGAGGGGTAATTATTATTAAATGAACCATTCATATTATTCATTAAACAATTATTCTCTGAGATCTCAAAGTTTGGGAGTTGCAACTCTTTATTATTCGGATGGGATGTATGTCAGAAATGCTGTTCTTGTAAATTAAACATCAAGATGTATGTGTCTTGCTGACACCACTCATGTCCTTAAAAGGGGTGGTTCACCCAAAAATAAATCTGATGAAAATCAATTTTTACCCTCAAGTTGTTCTGACTTTCTTTCTATAATGGAAACTATATTGAGATTTTTTTTAGGAGAATGTCCATGCTGCTTCTTGTCCACAGAATGAAAGTGGATGAGGACCAGGAACAACCGTCCATACTTTCAATGTATGGATAAGAGCAGCTTGGACATTTCACTAAATACCTTCTTTGGTGTTCCAGCCAAGAAATAATACAGGTTTGGAGTGACATGATTTTGGGGTGAATTATGTCTATAAAGCATCATCTCTTTGAGTTCTTTGACAGTAAATGCAGCTTAAAATAAATCAAGGCCACCTGATGAATAATTTACTTTGCTTCCCAAAGGGCTGCAGCTGGAGGCAGTACAAGTAGGCGGATTTTGAGATTTGTCGACAAGATTGCCAAGTCGAAGTATTTCCAGAAGGCCACAGAAAATGAGTACATTAAAAAAAAGATTGAAGAAATGTCCAACACCCCTCTGCTGCTTGCAGTGGAAGTTCAAGAGCTCTCTGGAACACTCGCCATCAACGTTCCTCCTCCCCCCACCGACAGAATATGGTACGAGCCATTCTCACTTAATGTTGCATTAGGGACTGAAGCTTTGCTTAAGCTTACACAGCGTCTGCAGAGATTATCTAGAGCAATCATGCTTCTTAAAGTTTGGTGTCATTCACTCTTGAAGGTTTGACTTTGTTGTAATTAAATTTCAATTTGAGGTTTATGGATTAGAGACAAGTGTAACACTGTCTACTAACTGGGCGTGATGTGATGAGTTCAGTGATGCAGTCACAGCCAGACAGAAGATATTTGATGTTTCAGGTGCAGTTATGAGGAGCAGACTTTTGGAGCAAAAATAAGTACTTAATAGTAAAATGATAAAAATACTGGTAACACTTTAGGTTAGGGAACACATGTTCACTATTAACTAAGAGTTTTACCTCAATAAACTCCTAATTTGCTGTTTATTAATAGTTACTGTAGCAAGGTGGTTGCTAAGTTTAGGTATGGGTTTGGATTAAGAGATCTAAAATATGGTCACGCAGAAAAAGGCATTTATAAATGCTTTATAAGTATTAATAAACAGCCAATATGCTAGTAATATGCATGCTAATAAGCAACAATAGTGAACACTGGTTCTTAAAATAAAGTGTTACCAAAATACTACTTATTATGGAAATAGTATACTTTAAAAGAATACCCTTTAGTGCAAACCAAATATGATATAAAATGCAATTAGCTGAACTATTTGTAGGACATCTTTATATGTAATTTTATAATTACTTCTGTTTTCTTTGAAATATGTTTAAAGTGTGCTGCAAAATGTACTGACAAGACTCTATGGCAAACTAAAACATACTTTAATCGTCATTCTATTGAAACTTGAATAGAATACTTGTAATTTGTAATCAATTACTTTACATGTGCTTTTATAGTTCTTTGTCAACAAATCAAAAGAAGTGCACTTTAAGAGTGGGAAAGCGGCCCACTCTTTGCCTATTAATCATTATATGCATTCAGGCTTGCAGACATGTCTTTGGATACATGCCCCAGATTTGTAAGTGTTTTGTTGGTTCTCTCTCAGGTACAGTTTCTGCGGACCCCCGAAGCTTGATCTAAGAGTCAGACCCAAACTGGGAGAGCGAGAAGTGACTTTCTGTCATGTAACTGAATGGATTGAAAAAAAGCTGCAGGATGAGTTTCAGGTTTGTTTTGATGATATTATGATGTCAGGAGCTTCACTATTAATTGGTGAACATGTTAAGCATATGGCAGCTAATTTAATTTAAAGGGGTCATGAACTCCCTTTATTTATTATTTTGTACTGTTCTCTGAGGTCCACTTATAATGTTATCAAGAGTTTAACATGAAAAAAACATCAGAATTTAGAAGTAATAGGTGACATTACTGCCAGATCCGATATTTCCGGAACAGCATTTCCTTTTAGTTTCAGTCTTTATGAAAATCCTGCATCGAATTGTGCTTTGTTTGTAAACGAATCCGCTGTAAAATGAAGTGAACAAAGGACCAAGTTCTTTCTGACGTGGTCTGGAACTTCATTAGAAATAAAGTTCATTCACTCTTTCCTAACGTTGGGATCAGAAGGAAGGCAATGCAAAGACTGTGTTTTTCCACAACTTGGCATGGCACTTTAATTGAATTGAATTGTTTATTTCTGTCAGGACCACTATCGTCAAAGATGATTGACAATTAGCATACAGTTTGGATTGGCGGTATGGTTCTGTTCTGGGCAAGAACTTCCTGCGCCTCCATGCAGCCTAGCATGGATGAGAGCAGGGAGAGCAGCAATAACCCCCCAGGGTAAACAGAACAGAACCAACATAAATGTATTGCAGATATTGTTAAAGTTCAATAATTTTATGTACACATTTTAGAATTAGTCTGATTCAAGGAGAATCAGAAGGCTGAATCCCGACTGGCAGAGGAGGAGTTGGGGATGGAGGAGGGTAATTAGCTATTGAGCAATGCGAAAACTGCTGATAATACTGAGGGACCTTATATATAAATGCTTAGATAGGTGTCGTATTCCCATAGGTTGATGGGGATCAGCTGAGAGCCAGCTGATGCGAGCTTGACTAACGTGACCTGCCAGAACTAACGCTACGCTTGATTTTAGTTAAATTATTTAATGCACAATGTTTACATTGACCCCCACAACAAATCTTGTGCAATTATTTTTCCAGAAAGTTTTTGTTTTGCCCAACATGGATGACATTTACCTGCCGCTGATGCACTCTGGGATGGACAACCCGCTAGCTTTCCCACAATACCCTGCAAAGCTCTCCCAGCATTCCTCTATGGCCTCCACTGACAGGTGTGATCTGGAACGTTCTGCAGAACTACAGTAGTGCCTCCTTTTGGAACAGACATGACAATACACCAGTAACAGAACTCGCTCATTTAACTTCAACAAACTTCTAGTAATGTAAGCTTCATTCATTCGGCTTAATTTAAACATCACAGCACAAAGCAAAATGTCAGTAGCTCTCACACATATTCTCTCTAAATATATCAGACACCTCCTTATACAGTCATTACAAGGCACAGTGGGTAAAATTCCTATCACCCCGGAAATCCAAAACAGTTATTCTTATCATACCAGTGGCTTAATGTGTGAATAAACCATTTTATTACTTTATTGTGTTTATGTCCTGAGGACAACTGATTATTTGCTGAACTTCCACAATGACTTAAATTAGACAAATAAGCATTAGTAATAATCAATAAATATCAAATACTAATGAATTTATTTAAGAATTCATATTTAGAATGAAATACAACTCTTTTTGAAAAAAGTCTTACATACATGTTCCAGAAGTGTTTGCTTTTTACATCATAAATGATCATATAATATCAAAGACGGGTTTTGTACGATTTCACATTTTCTTGTCAAGTGTCACTTCAAGATTGTAATATCTGAACTTAAGCAGGCATTTGAATGTTACAAAAATCGTTTTTATTTTTTAATGTTTATGCATTAGCATCAATGTCTCACGTTATTAACCTCTCAAAGCTGTAGAAGGAATGTGCAACGAAAATCTTCACTATTTTGTTTAACATCATGCTTTTCTCTTTTCTCAGTAAATCTGTAAAATTGTGTTGTGCTGCCCTTAAAGGGATAGTTGACGCAAAAATAAACTTTTTGTCATCATTTAGCTCATGTTGTTCCAATGATTTTCTTTCTTCTGTGGAACTGTCACTGTTGCTGTTTTTTTTTTTTTGGTCCATACAATGTTGTTTTGGACCCCATTTGACTTTTATTGTATGGACAGTTGAAACATTCTTCAAAATAGTTTCTTTTATGTGTCACAAACGAAAATAAGTTATATAGGTTTGGAACAGCATGAAGGTGAATAAACAACTTTAATTTTTGAGTGAACTATCCCCTAAGATGTCTATAAAAGTGGAAAGACACATTTAATAAAACGCGCACACATAAAAAACGAACTTGAATGCTCTCTTTGAATCCTGAAGGGTATTTACACTATATAAATCTGACTCTTGTACTGCTGCTGTTGGTGTGACGGTGTCTGCTGCCGCTCGGACTGGCGGCATTAGCATCAGTCCAAGCACTGGTTCCCTCCCCTGCTTCAATTTCCAGATCTCCAACCTCCAGGCTCTCACACATCAGGTTTATCTGCCTCCTTATTTGTGCCATCCGGCTCTGCATGCGCTGCATCTTCCTGCGCAGGTTGGCTGCGATGGCCCTTTGCTGCCGCCGCTCGGCTACATAGCGCTGCTGCAGTTCTCGGTAGCAGTTATGTTGGGCCTGATTCTCACGGACGAGCAGCGTCCCGCAGCCCATGGGACACGGCTGTCGCCAGTGGCTGCAGCTCTGATCATGCGCCTGCGCGTCCTTCCTCAGCACCTGCTGCCCACAGCCCTCATGGGGACAGATCTGCCACTCATACAGACAGCTGGAGATGTGGAGGTACTCGTTAGAAAGCGGGAAAGTGGCCCTGCAGCCCTGCTGTGCATTTCGACACTAAGAACACAATATGGAGTTGTTTTAAATTCACAGTTTAAGTACTAGAACTTTAACTACTATACTGTATTTTAGACTTGAGTTTTAAAAAAAGTTGCCTACCTTGATTGATAAACGGCCAATGGATTTACTCAGCTTAAACAAAACCAGCATTTGGTTCTGGTCGATAGGCTGCCTACAACATGGGCATTTCACCTGTCTGAAACAACACTGACTTTAACATTTGCTCAAACATCCAATGCGTTACTTCAAAATAGAAGTAAGATTAAGTAAATGGATCAAAAGTGGCAGTGAAACCATTTACAATGCAATCAAAAACTTCTATTTCAAATGAATGCGGTCTGTTTATCAAAGAACCCGAAAAAAAATCACGGTTTCTTCAAAAATATGTACAACAAGTGTTTTAAGAATTTTTCTTGAATACCAAATCAGCTCATGTGATATTTAATACTGGAGTAATGGCTGCTGAAAATCACAGGAATAAATGATTTTTTAAAAATATATTCAAAAAGAAACCTTTTGTAATTTGTAATATTTCACAATATTACTGGTTTTACTGTATATTTGATCAAATGAATGAAGCCTTGGAAAGCATAAGAGACTTCTTTCAAAAACATGCAGACGAAGGCTTTCCCATCAGGATGTATGATATTCATCAAATTAAGATAAAGATATAAGATACAAGAGAACCTCCCAATTCAGATGATACCGGTTATACCAATTAAGTCACAAATTATAACTTAGACAAGAAATGTTACTTTCCTACCTCATTTTTTGCCCCCTTATTTTCCCCTTAATCTGGTTCATCTTATTATCAAATATTAAGTTGTTACCTTTTCATCCACTGTAAAATGCATTCTTTGCAGAAGACATGGTTGCATTTAAGTCGTACAGGACAGCGTAGAACTGCTCTACAGATGACACAAATCAGATCATCATCTGGGGTATCCACAAACTGCTCCACTTCATAACCTCCAGTCTAAAACCAAAATGAAATAAAAAAGTAATATATAATAATTCAATTTGTATTTTAATGTCATATGGATACTAGCATTATTACTGATATAACTACTAAAATGAAATCAAACTATTTCAAAGGATTTTAATTTTAAATTACTCATGTTGCATATTATCAGACTTTTTATATAACATACTGTAAGTTTTAGCTTGTAAAATATAAATATATACTATACGTGTTTTTTCACAAATATCTTTTTTAATATATAATGTAATTAAAAAAGGGAAAACTCACCATTTTGACTTATGATACCAGGGCACAGCTAATACAGATGCTGTATATGTTGAATAATTTGTAGAGGCATAAAGGCAGGCATCTGTCAAAACAACCCAAAGGAGATCACTTGACCCTGGATCATTCAGAAATGCATTGCAGATGTCCCATTTTCTCTTCTTTTCCATTCTAGCACAAGTCACGAATGTGGTTAGCACCTGACAACTTTTTTACACTAACCACTGGGACCCTATTTTGGTACCATCTAGGTTTTACTTATTAGACAAAGGCATTGCTATGGAAACAGTGAACTTCAATGACTGCCTGCTCTAGAGGCTACAAGCCCTATTCTCTAAACACACAGGTCTGAATGGCCAACGAACACGCAGCAGCATTCTCTGCACAATAGAATATATCATAAATCATTATATGTGAAAAAATGTGTCAATAAACACTTTAACTGAATTTATGTCCCACACTTTAAGTTAAACTAAATAACAATGCTATAAGCAAAACTTTAGCAAAAGCTAAGAAGGTTTTTTACAATAAAGAAAACACCAGTTTGTACTGGTCACCATTCATATGTACAAGGGAGAATGGGGTAAGATCGGTCAGTAGGTAAGCTGTGCTTCTTATGGATAAAATGTCTTAATGTTTTTCATTGTATTTTTTGGCGCTCACTTGTTTACAGATAGCATATATGTGATTATACTGGAATTTTAATGTGGATAACAGAATTCAGAAAAAGGAATCTAGATGAAACTTACAATCAAAACCACTGCAATTTCCAGAATACAGGAAAAACTGAAAGTGGAATAATCAACGTAGTGAGCGAATGTAGATATTAGGCTGTAAAGTTATTTATCTGTCGCATTCAGTACTGTATTATCCTTTGCCATGTTGACATAAGGGGAATTTGTGAGGACTTTGGATACTCAAATACGGGCAGACTACTCTATAATGACTACTAATAATAATCAACAAACAAACAAGTAATAAGGGGTGGCAAACTGTTTCTGAGAATGTCTGATTTTATTTTTCATATAAGGAAATGCAGCTTCCTTTAAATAAATCTCAGCCACTCTTTATGTTAATGTTTAAAGTTTATTAGCGGCAGCTGACTTTTTCATCTTACCGACATAATAACATCAATTCTTTGATGATAACAATTACACTTATATTCTTAAAATAAGCCCAAATGTATAGTAACACCGAGTGGAATAATTTAGTTTGTTTTATGCATAAGGTGGTCTACACTGACAGTCTCTGTAGTTATCAGTGTTTCATTATCTGGAAATCTTTGAGTGCTTGCTTCTGTATTCAGTTAGCCTACTCAAGAACTTGGTTCATCTTTTTGACAGATACTTATGTTATAGCTACGTATAAATGTTTGGAATAATTCAGTGTCACATGGTCCTTCAGAAATCATTCTAAATATGTTGATATACCAGTGTGCTAATATACTTTATGTGTGTGTGCAAATATGTGCCTGTATATATTAAGTTTCCATGAAAAACGTCATGACATCAAAAGCATTAAAATGAAGTTAAAACATTTATTGAAACTTGTGCAGGTATATATACAAAGTCCAAATATTTTTATATTTGGAAGACCATTAGCTCCAGTATGAAAGATAACAGTCTGAATACAACGTTAATGAAAAAACAAAACTGTGAGAAAAAAAAAAAGTTAAATATGTACACTGTAACTACTTTTAACAGGTTATGTATAATATATTTGATTAATTCAATATTTATACTATTTATATAGCCCCACCAAGGATTACAAAGAGATGACAAAGAACCCAGATTAATATCGTTGTACTATACTCAAATGCGATCAAAAAGAAGGTCATATGCACCCCTTTCATGCTCTCCCTTCATCTACCATGACTTCTCTTTCAGGGGCCAGGCGTGCAGAGGTCGCCAGAGCAACTTTTCGGGTGTAGGTCGTGCAGCGACATAGGATCTCCTGAGTTTGTGGTCTGGGTGGCACCCTGGGAGCTTCAACTCCTTTCATTGGGTGATCAGTGTCTGAGCTGGTGGGGCTGGACTGACCACTGGACATACCACAATCATTGCTGTCTCTCTCTCTATCCTGCTGTCTCAGGCCCTCTTCCCCCTCTGAGCTGGACATGCTTGGGCTCATGGAGGTGGTGTCTGAGGAACTGAAGCTGAAGTTGGTTCCATCATCGCTGAAGCTGCCAGCTTCCTCATGCTGTACCGGCTCTGACAGAATTTCCAGAGAGTTTGATTTAAGGAAACTATTCATTCTGTTTTGTGAGAGGACCTGAGGCTCCAGTTTGAAAGAGTTGCTGCTGGACAGGTTGATAGTGGAGCTGTGAAGTTTCCTCTTAAGTGTCTGAAGGCCAAAGCTGGGGCTGCTGTAGAGCTTCAGGTACATGGAAGGCACATAGCCTGCCTTTCTGTTATATCTGTAGAAGGAATAAAAGATTTAGGTTACAGTATGTTTTGTATGGGGAAAACTCCATGTACATGTAGAAGTAATCATTACTTTCTTCCTCCCTCTCTCTCCCTCATATATATGTAGAAATACACTACTTTTCATAAGAAGTCTCTTATGCTGACAAGGCAGCATTTAATTTAAAAACATTATTTAATATTTATTTTTTAAATAAATACATATAAAATATAATTATTATTTAAAATATAATATTATTTCAATTATTTAACATAACTGAAAATATAAATGTGAAATCTGAATAATTTTTATCTATCTATCTATCTATCTATCTATCTATCTATATATATACAGTATATAGTTGGGTTGGTGTTTGGGGC